ATTATACAATAAATTTTACAAACAGTGTGAAAAGTCCATACGCTATTTTTTTTTTTTGATAAATACCAAAAATAAGTATTTTTGTCAAAAAAAAATAATTTGAATTTTGTTACAGATGTAATTTTTAAAAATTCCAATAACCTTTCTTCTATAAAATTTTTGATTTTATGCATTGTGCGATTGAAAATGAAAAAAAGAAGTATTTGCAGCAAGCATTTTTAATTAAGCCTTATGTTAGCAGTATCTGCATTTACATACAGGCATACAGCACAACTCAACAACATGTCTGCGACATTTTGTGAATAGCATGTCCATGTCTAATCTTACACACTTATCGGTCTCACTTAATGAGTTTCATTCGAAAAAAAAAAAACTATAATCAATACTTCTTTCACATTCAAAGTCATTAGAGAAGAGTGTTCTCGATTGTGCTGGAAATTTCAAAACCAATCTACATGAATATATATGGCATATGTGTGTATGTGTAGTTAAAAATGCATGTAGCACCTATGACATGGCACATATGTACATATATGTACATAGCATGTATATATTTAAATTTGTATTCGTTGGCTGTATATTTGACTATTTCGAAATATTAAAACTTTGTAAAGATTAAAAACACTGGCTTCGCTTTATCTGCAAAGTCCGCATACATACACGCAGAACTACATACAAATGTCATAGTGTACATAAAAATATTTTTTCTTAGTTCTTCTTTCATTATTCGGGTATTGTCGACTATTTTTTTATTAGGCTTACTTTATCACCACTCAGGGTTGCATTTGTACTCAAACATATACGTATACGAACAAATTGATTATAACATGTTTTTGGCTTCAGCCGAACACGTGTTCGTGTTCTGAGTTTTCAATCTACATACATACAATAGTTGGTGGTGTTTTGCCATTACAAAATTTTGAACAATGATGTTTTGAGTGTTGATACAAATATTTCCGAACTGCTCTCTCGATCTTTCGGAGTTTTTCCAGAAAAGGCATCGAAGCCATAAATGATGCTGATTATGTTTTATTTTTAACTATATCTAGCAGCCAATTTATATTTCTTTAAAGAAACTAACATACTTACTGTAGACAACCTAACATAAAATTTCAAAATTGCTAAAAAATTAAGGTCTCGAAACCTTGATGTAGGAGCAGGAACGACAGAAGAACGTTTTATTTAAACAATAAACGAAAACAAATAGCGAGCAACAGGTCAATGTTGTATGCTTAGCAAACGATTAATAGTGGCAGCTTAACACTTAGAGACCCAGTAGGGAATTAAATCTAGTAATTTTTTTATAGCTCGCATTAACAAGCAAATAAAAAGGTTACTATTTAAAAAAATGTTAAATATCACATAATACTAAAATAAATAATAAATATGTGCACATTCTGCAAGGATTAATGGAATGTAAATATTTGGCGATTTATTGAAATGAAGACACCGCAGAAATTGTTTA